CAGCAAATGAACGTTTTTCTGGGTGCCCACTATGTGCCACATTCTGGGCTGTGCCTAGGTTGAACAATAAATGTTCTCTCCAGTGTATGTCTATATATTGGGGGCGAGGAAGATAAAACAAGAATGGCAAAATTCTGATAACTGTCACAGCTGGAAGATGAGTACTTGGAAGTTCATTATAGTATTTCTTCTGCTTTTATAGTATGTTTGATAATTTTCCTAATCAAGTTAGATAACTTCCTTCCCCTTTGCTTACAGTCAACAGAGATAAGTAGATACTCAGATTTGGCCAACATTTCCTGAGCACCTACTATGCGCCAGGCGTTGTACAAAGTCTTTGGATCACATTCTGCCCGCCATCTTACAGAGGTTAGAACCAGGGGCTGAGAAATTCCTTATGGTGTGGGGACGTGACACAGTCAGTCACGGGCAGTTCAGGACCCTGTGCTTCCAATGCAAACCCAGGAGAATGGGTCAGAAACTTGGGATCAGGCTACCTGGCTCTGAGCAAGTACCTGGGCCTCCCTGAGCTGATTCAGTTTCTCTCCCCATAAAAAGGGCACAGTAAAACCTTGTAAGGTTTCTTTAAGGGTCACAGACCTTTACTGTCAAGGTCCTGGCACCAAGTGAAGGCTCCATAAGTGGCAGCCATCATTCTTGGCCAAGTGCGGACGCAGCTTGCAGCGGGATCCCTCGGGCAGGGCCGGGCCCGCCCCCGCAGCTCGGGCCTCGCAGTCTCCCGGTAGGTGGCCCGGCATCTCGGTGCCCACGCCCCGCAGCGAGCGGGGAGAGCGGGCGGGTTGGAGGACTAAGGTCTCCCCTGGAGTATCACCTCCCTTCTTCCGCACGCCGCGCGCAGGTGAGATTTTCAGCCCAGGCCACGGGGACAGCGACCTCAGGAGAGGTCGTGGCGGACGGTGCTGCCCGCGGCCAGGAGCGGGGTCTCGGAGCGCTCCTTTCCTTCGTCTGCTCTCACTCCGGGGCCGGTCCCGGCGCCAGGGAGCCGCGGGCTGCGCGCTCTGCTGCCTGCGAAATCTCGGAGCGGTGGACCTGGGCGCTCGCAGCTCGCTGCCTCTGCGGTTCTGGCCGCCGAGCTGGGCATGCTCAGTGCAGCCGGCGCGTCGCTGTCTGCCAACTCGGAAGCTCGCGCTCCTGGGTCCGGGGGCGAGGACGGCGGCGGCGGCGAGCCGGCGTGCCTGCTGCTCTCAGACAGCCGCAAACTTCGCGGCGTCCTGGAGTCGCTCGGACGATACTGATATCTTACAAATAAAATCTACCCTACTCTCCATCCCAACCCGATCATGGAG